CCTACGAGGAAAATGAAGCTGGAATGACACCTAGTGGCAAATTCTAAGGTGTCCTTGTCCAAGTACAGCCCTCTCCAAGTTACCTTCACGCTGTTTCTGGGTGAGATGTTCTTACAAAGAGGAGCCTGGGTTTGGCCATCTGAATGGTGGGCCGCACCCATGGTCCTAGTCCAACAGCTTTCTCAGCCTGGCACTGTTTTTTTCCTACGCCGATCCCTGAGAACGGCGATTTTAGCCCGTGCTGGGATGAGCGTGACCCCACGTGCACCCGCTGGAAGGGATGCTTAGTGGGGGGGAGCAGACGTGTGCGGTCAGCCCACCCGTATCCCAAGGAGATGCTCACCAGCACCCTACTCTGGGGAGACGTCTGAGGAGATGAGGAGGAAGCGAAGTCTGAAGATGCTGAGGCTGCTGTCAGTAGGTTTGGGACTTGCTCCCATCATGACATGGAATTTGTTTTGTAGGCCATGACTTCCAGCAAAGCCGCCGTTCCCCGCTCAGTTGGTGAACCAACAACATCGCTAACATGCGGTAGAAATTCCTGGGATTGGTATTTGATTAGGGAGCTCAGCCAGAACCAAGCAACCCAGCTGAGCCAGGATGGAGCAGCTCAGGCTGTTGCATCCCAGCATATTCTGTTTCAGGGAAAAGCAGCTCTAAGGGATAGAGGGAATTATGGTTGGTCGTCTTTTGGAACTTAGCTGTACTGTGTAAAATAATCCCATCATCTTATCCTGGGAGTTTGGCTGCTCTCTTTGGGGAGAGAATTATGGCTTCAAAGAACGTGGCCTGTTGATTCCCTGACCTTATGTTTTTGGGGAGTTATTGGAAATAATGTGAAAAGGTCTTCCAGAAATAATGTTAGGTGGTCTACAGACTTGCTAAGGTTTGCATCTAGAGTTCGGAGTACGTAGTACATTTTTTTATGCATTTTGCTAAAACACCAATTACTTTTCCATGTTTGATTTACTTCTCACCCTTCTCAGGCTTCTAAAACCCAACAGTGTCAGCCCAGTGTCAAAACCCTTTTCCTTCAAATCCTGTGCTGTTTAACACTGAGATTGTGAGAGTGTTCAGATGCTCCTGCCAGATCCTGGACTGCGTTGTTCTTGGAAACGTACAGCTGTACTTGAGGGACAGTCTGGTGGTGAGAGCGAGCCCAGGCAAAAGGGCTCTGACCTCCTGGCTTCGGTAGTGATGCGGAAACCAGCTGCGGTGTAGGGCTGGCTTCACATATTTGTTTTGGAAATGATAAACCCTCAAACTCTCAATTTATTTGGAATTTGGGTATTTTCTTCTTTTAGGTCAGATATTTTCTGCTCGGGTAATTTACATTCTTTTTCATACCCTGCTGCATTTCTCAGTCCTGGTTTCTGCCTGGGTGTTTGGTTGAAGTACTAATATGATCAACTTACACGTAATGCACAAACTGGAATTAGGAATTGTGGTTAACTCGGCTACTGGGCAGCAACTCTGGATTTGGCTCTGCAGGAGCCATGGTGAGTCCTGGAGCGCGAGGTAGAAGCATCTGAATGGTGCCCTGCAGGTGGCAAAGGCTCCCTCTGAGGACCCTGCAGTGCAGGCTCAGCTGGAGATCACGGAACGGTTTGGGTTGGAAGGGACCTTAAAGACCATCCACTTCCAACCCCCCTGCCCTGGGCAGGGACACCTTGCACTAGACCAGGTTGCTCAAAGCCTCATCCAGCCTGGCCTTGAAGACATCCAGGGATGGG